GGTCCACATTGTCTTAATCCATCTCCCTCAAATTGACACAATGGGTGTCAATTTATGCTGTCACTCTCTATGGGTGACGTGTCAAAAATGTTCCAAATTGCTCTGTGCGTCACAGTCCTTGATAAGCCTCCACTCCTTATCGCAGCATGCATCCAACCACCAAACTCCTCCGCTGCTTTATAGCCCTGCTGGGTGTTGGTCTCCCCTCCCCGCCTCCCCACAGCTCAGAGCCTTGAGCAGCCAATGGCTGTTACCCCATTGCAGCCTTTTTGCCCTCCTGCCCAGCGGTGGATCTAAGATGTTGAAAAGGGGGGGTGCAGATGATGAGATGCATCATCACAATAGCTCAATGCACGCATTTCATTACATTAAAAAGAAAATAGAGGCTTTACTACTAGACTTGGGGCCTCAGGCTGCATTGTTTAGCTTAAGGAAGTCCAGGTTGGATGAATGGGCTGGAAGATGGAGAGAAAACTGGCTGGATCATCAGGTTCAGAGGGTAATACTCAATGGCTTGATGTCTAGTTGGCAGTCAGTATGAAGTGGAGAGCCCCTGGGCCAACTTTGAAGTGGAGGTCCTGGGGCCAACTTTGTTCAATATCTTCATCAATGTCCTGGAAGATGGCATAGAGTGCATCCTCAGCAGGTTTGCAGATGATACCAAGCTGGGAAGAGTAGCAGATAAGCTAGAGGGCAGGGCTGGGATTCAGAGAGACTTAGAGACGTTGGAGCATTGGACCAAAAAGCTGGGTTGATCTCACCTTCTTGAGCCTCTGGATGGTGCCTCTGACACTTCCTTAGTTTCTGCACCCCAGCGCTGGGGGTTCCGGCCACCCCTCACCCCCTTGGAGCATTTCTACACCCGAGTTTGTGTTTCTAGCTAAAACAGTCCACTGAGCTGGGATATAGGGGCCTACATCACTGGGAGCCATGGAGGGACCACGGACAAGGAGAGAGGTGTTACCACTCAGAGAGTGAAGAGATTAGCAGGAATTGATTATAAGGAACCGTAAAGTAAACAGGCTTTGGCCACGGCTGAGATCCATGGAGGAGCTGGTGGCTGTTCCCCTGTGCCTCCCCCCCCCGGTTCTTCCCCCTGTGGCCGGGGAAGGAACAG